GCCACCCGCCCTTACCCCGAAAACCTCTTGCACTTTTTAAAACGAATGTGCGCGGCGCTCGGGCGAGAGCCACATTTTGAAATCCGTCCGTCCTCCATCTGTGTAGCTGTTACCACGCTTCAGCATCAGGGTCGTACAGGGTGAGGAAGTCTCAGGCGCAACGCCCGGCCCGCCCTTTCGACCGGCCTCGGGGTGCGACAGGGAGGAGTTATCTATAAGGAAGACTAGTGGAGGAGGAGGAAGAGGAGGAAGAGGAGGAGGAGGAGGAGGAGGAGGAGGAGGAGGAGGAGGAGGGAGGGAGGAGCAGGAGGAGGAGGAGGAGAAGGAGGTGGTAAGAAGACGAGGGAGCAGGGATGAGAAGGCGGCCTGTCTCGGCGCGTTGCTCTCGCCAGTCAGATTTGCGCTCTCGCCCCAGCGCAGGTACTGTTTGTTGATCCCCTTTCTTACTTTGCGTTGCCGTCCTCCCCTTTCCCGTGCTCCTGCTGCTGCTGCTCCTCCCTCCTCCTCCTCCTCCTCCTCCTCCTCCCTCCTCCGCCTCCTCTCCTCCTCCTCCTTTTCTCCCCCCTCCGCGCCCCCCGCGCACTCCCACGGCCATCACTGCTTCGGCCACCCTCCTGCTCATTGCGGCCACGGCTCCGCCTCCTGCTTCTCTGCTTCCCGATGAAGGAGGAGGGAGGAGGAAGGAGGGAAGGAGGAGGAGGAGTAGAGGAAGGAGGGGAGAGGGAGAGGAGCAGGAGGAGGTAAGGAGGAGGAGGAGGAGGAGGAGGCGGAAGAGAGTGTGCCACCACCCCTCGGCGCGACGCGCGACGCGCGTCCCTGCCCCCGAGCGTCACCGCCCCGAGCCTCTCCCGGCCTCTTCTCCGCGCCGCGGCGCGAACGCGGCGCGCCGGCCGCCTGCGGGGCACAGCATGCCGCCGGGGCCGCCGCCGCGACACTTGGCGGCGCGCAGAGGGGGGGGGGGGGAGGGGGAGAGGGGGGGGGGGGGGGGGGGGGGGGGGGGGGGGGTTGGGGGGGGGGGGGGTGGGGGGGGGGGGGGGGGGGGGGGGGGGGGGTGGGGGGGGGGGGGGGGGGGGGGGGGGGGGGGGTGGGGGGGGGGGGGGGGGGTGGTGGTGGGGGGAGGGGGCTCGGCTTCTGAGAAGCACCCCTCTGCTTCTCAGGAGGCGCGGGCCTCGTCTGTGGCTGTATAAGGCCGGCGCCCTCTGAGGAGCGGCTCCCTCCCAAGAGGCCTTCCCCCCTCCCCCCCCCCTGACCTTCCAGAGAGCTTTTTTTTAGCACTGGAAGCCTAAACACCTAAAAAACGAGACGAAACAGCCTAAGACCAAGACGTAAAATAGCTCTGGGATAGGTTTTTACGTCGGGTGCTATTTTTTAGCCCTCCTGGAAGGTCAGGGGAGGAGGCCCCCGCGAGGCGTCGCGCGCCGGGGGCGACGCGGTGGAGTTCCAGGTGCGCTGGGAGGAGGAGGACGGGCCCGCCGCCCGCCGCCGTCGGGCGGGGGGGCCCCGCCTCGAATGGCGCCCTCTTTTTTTTTGTTGTTGTTGTTTTTTTTGTTTTCTCTCTCTCTCTCTCTCTCTTTGTGCCCCGGCCTGCCGCCTCCCAACCCTTGCTTCCCCGCCTCTCCCTCCTCCTCCCCGCTTCATCGCTCCCGCCTCCTTTTCATCTCTTCCTCCCTTCCCCTCCCTCCTCCCTCTCCTCCTCCTCCTCCTGCCTCCTCCTCCCTCCTCTCCTCCTTCCCTCCTCCTCTCCTCCATCTCCTCCTCCCTTCTCCTCGTCCTCCTCCTCCTCCTCCTCCTCCTGCCTCCTCCACCTCCTGCCTCTCCACCTCCACCTCCTCCTCCTCCTCCTCCTCCTCCTCCTCCTTCCTCCTCCTCCTCCCGATCTCAACTTTTGGCGTTGCGCGGAATTTGATCAGGGGATCGCTGCGTCTGTTAAGAGTTCAAGTCGGGGGATGCAAACGAATCGAGAACGAACACCTCCTCCCACCTCTTCCTCCCCATTGCTCGGCCACGCGCAGAAGTGGGGTAGGGGGAGGGTGGAAGGCTCCTTAGAAGAACCCCTGCTTCTCAGAAGGCGCGGGCCTTGTCTAGATGAAGGGCGGCGCCTTCTACGAAGAGGTCTCCTCCTGAGAGGCATTCCCCCCCCCCTCTCTCCCTACCCCCGCCCCCATCTGCGCGCCGCCAACTTGCTCTGGATCGCTTGACGTCCATGACAGGCCGCGTTCCTATCCCTGCGCGTGTTGGCGCTCTGCCAGCGGGGCTCTGCAGTGGTCTCCAGCATGGGGTCCTCCTTCCTCCCGCCTCCGCTGACTGCAGCGGTTACGCTTAAGTCGGGCATGTCCCTCGACAGGAGGAAGATGCAGAAATAGTGAAACATGGTCGATGCTTCGACTACTTTCGGGTATGTTTGAGCGTGTGTTTGGCAATGTTTTTTTTCGCCCCGAATCCGCCCGTAGGGGGACGTGCCCGACCTAAGGTTACGCCCCTGCTTCTCAGGCTCCTGGCC